CAGCCCATACACTGCATCAGTCTCCCTCTGCTCCGCCACTTTTCGGAGGTGCCGAGGACACAGGCACGATTAAAGAAGTCCTGCTCCTCTTGGGCATTTTCATTTGAAAAGAAAAAAAAAAAATCACCCCAAAAGCCGAAGTTTCAAAGCAGCAGCGTCCCTGTGGGGCGACCGGCAGTGCAGCCAGCTGGGGCCGTTCAGCTCACTGCCCCTCCTGAGGAGGAGCGCAGCGACGGCTGCATCTCCTACTGCCCTGCTCTACCCCTGGGCTGGAGGATACGGCTGCTCCACAACTCTCCTACTGAGATCATTCCGCTGGTGAAGAGACGAGATGACTGAGGGGGCTGCTCACTGTAGCCAAATGGGAAATTATGTCCAGGAGAAATTAAAAAAGCTCAACATTGCCTGTGTTTGCTGTGGTGTACAATCACCAGCCCGCATTCCATACTGCGGCAGTCAGAAACAACTACCTGACAGGTTGTGGGTCAGTGTAACTCACAGCCAGATGCCTGTGCAGGAGGGTGGCATTTGGGATATTACCGAGGGGATGATAGGAACCAAAATGAAATAGCAAACCCCCTGAAATCGGCACTTTTATATGAACTATTCAATCACAACTGCCCCAACCTGTTGCTGTTCTAGCTTCAATACGTTTCTTTAACACAAAGTGTTAGTTAGAAATGTGCTCGTTAGGTTGAGCTGGCACAGAAAAACCTCCGTGTCTTGGTTTGTCAATATTTATCAGGAGCTCCCTAATAAGGACTTCACAACAGATTCAGTCTCTGAAGTTTATCAGTTTCCTCAATCTCATTTGCCAGTACTTTGACATTTAAAACTATTCTGGGAAGGGCAAATTAGAAATCAATGATGTGCTCATCAGCCCAGTATCAATGCTGCCCTAAGAAATGTAGATCTGCCATTGAGGGGGAAAAAAATGCTAAAATTGCCTTTATGGAGACTAAAGAAAAATGCAAAAAAAGCTGCCATTTGAAAGAGTGAAGTAAGTAGTGACTTTAGTAGTCTTTGTAAAATGCATGACATGGTAACTCAGCGCAGAGCTCGCTTCAAAATCTGCACTTCACAGGAGCGATATCAGCGTTCGGTCAAACAGTCAGAAATGCTGCAGTATCCCAAGGACTGTTTCAAGTCCTTTTCAAACATAAGATTTAGAAATAAGGCCCAACCCTCATGTCAGAGAATCCTGATGGAATAGCAACCAAAATTAACGAAGAGTCAAAGGTAAAATTTAAGTTCAGGTGCCGCAGTGTTTTACTCACACATGAGCTTTTGTTAAGAGTCCTAATACTCCTGTTTCTTCCTATTCTTCAATTTTTGATTGACGCAGTTATTAGAACGCTCGCAATAAAAATAATACGGAATGAACCATGTTTCTACATTGAAAGACTATTCTGATAATTAGTGTGATCATCTCCAGAGGTTTACGTGTTGTCTTGAACCAACATCTGGTTAAGCTAAAAGCTTTCTTTCAGGAATGAAAAACCAGATGCTGCCTCTCTGCTGTATTACAGAGCAGAGTTTGAAGCCACCCTTGGAAAGTTAGCAAGGCTGTTAACCAGGAAAAAAAAAAAATCTTGTGATAAAAATAGATGAAATTTTGAACACTATACATATAGACAGTACCCTACATAATCATAGGAAATATATTCCCCGTGGATCTATTTGAATGTGTTTTTTTGTTTTTTAAGTGACAGTGATTTAATTCAGGGTATGTGTGTAAACGTAAGTACGTGTATATAAACAAGAGTTTGTAAATAAATAAGCCGTGTGCCTTTGACCCAGGAATGAAAGTGAAGAGTGACCAGGCCATTACTTCATTCCACTTGACTCAAACCAGCTTTCAGTCACGTATTTTTGAGAAAGGAATGTTTCAAATTTCAGAATTTGTAACATACAGTAAGTAGGAAAATGTTTAATACCAACCCACCCTCTTTATTCTTCAAGTATTTTTAATAGTGCAAAATATCGTTTTGCATTAGTACAGTAACTATGGGAATTCACAGTGAAAAAAAAAAAACCTTAAAAGATTTCCAAAGTCAAACAAAAAATTTTTTAATACTGTATTTTTAGCAAGAACATTTTTAACAAAGAATGTGTACTTTAACTTAATATGGTACAACAGAGAAACCATACTTAAAAGTTTCCATTATCTAACACTCTACTGCATATTCATTTTTTCATCGTAAAAGACCAAAAGCCAAGCTGAACTGAGCATAAAAAAAAGCATCAATTATAATCCTCATATTACGTCAGCTATTAGGGTTTAGCTCACACTTTGAATTGGTCATCTAATGAAAGGACAATTTTTACATCATTCTTTTAAAAAATGTACACACATTTCTTTTTAAAACGTAATATATATCGAGTATCTGCTTCAGTAAACAAAGCTTAATTTATAAACACAATCGAAACAGCTCCATGTTGAACAGTTTCAGTGATAAACTGGACTTGTATGATGTACAGCCAGTGAGGACCCTTGTGGCTTAAAATCATTGTGCCATTGCTATCCAGTAATAGCTACCGCCTTAGAAAAAAAAAAAAAGTTCTTTTTTTGGGGGGGAAGGGGGAATAATTCCTGTATGTGCTTAAAAATACTAAAACTCCTTTCTATCTCCAGGGACCTAAAAATGATCTGTTGCAACAGGCTTGGTTTGGTATGGTAAGCTTGTAAAAAGTCTCAATATTTCTTAATGACAATACGGCAGTTTTCGATGCAGCAACAGTAAATTGCTTGAAATTGTCCTTCAAGTTTCATGCTACAAATCCTGTTCTTCACACAGTACTGAAGGCATCAAAGGTTGGAAGGGACATTTTTCATGAACTATATAGTCTTCAAATAGTGATCATTATACATTTTTCAACAATAGGTGTTTCCTTCAGTACATAATAGTAGGTTTGATGTATGTTCTGTTTTCTGGAGAAAAAAAAAAAAAGAAGAAAAAAAAGGTCAATTACACAGTTACGCATTTATAATTAATTGAAACTTGGGTGGGTTTCCTTATTTGTTGCTGGACTTTTTTCCTTCTCAGGCCAAGTTATCAGATCCACAGGTGATATATACTACCCATCTCCCAAACACGCGTCCCACTGGGACGAGGCACCTGATGACAAAGTGCTGGCGGGTGGCTGTGACGCAGCGAGATGAGCCGCTCCCAGCGCAGTGACCCCCCCCCCACCCGCTGGTACGGGTCTGGGCACTCACCTGGGCTACAAAACCACCAGCTGTGTTTCTAACCGTGCTTGGAGCCAGCATGTGCTGAGCAGAGGCTATAAATACTTCGATTTGGGGTTTTCTGCCTTTATGACATTTATTTTTTTTAATTGAACACTCATTTTCCTCCTTTTTTTTTAGAAGGCAACCTGTGTTGTATTGCATGCCTCCGTAAGACAGACGGAGTAGCATGGCATCAGCTGTATGACATACCATTATTACACGCACAAAACCTTCTAGGGAACAGCGTATAAACCAAAATTGCATTGCATTAAAAAAATGGAATACAAGTAAATCACTATCTGTTCTTGGAAAACTGTTCTTTTGGTCAGAAACTGACACATTTCTTTTAAAATTATTTTTCTTTATTTAGGGAAACAAGTAGAAACCACTTATTTCCTTCAGAAGAATATTCCTAGTTATAGTACCTATCAACTGTGATTTTTCACATTAAGCTCAGAGAAGAAATAAATATTAAAATGCCCACAGAAGAATCCATATTCTTGTTCATTATACAATGAATCATGAATTCACCCAGCTAAACCCGCAAGTACTGATCTTGAAGATGATAGCAAAATGATAATATTGAGAAGCATTTTGTATAACGTTGACATCCATCCCATTACTGTTTTACATATGCCAATACTGAACGCTCCTAAGGAAGGAACAAGTATTGACCTGCTAACTGACACCGATCCTTGGAGCAATCTCAAAGTTTGCCACATTTCAATTTCAAAATGCATTTCAGCTATAATATGAGTGATTTATCATTTAGCAGTAGCTGTCAAAGTAACCTCCTAGATAAAACAAAAACATCTGGAACCATAAACAGAGGAGAGCAGTAGCTGAATTTTAATCCAAATCCGACATGTTCACTTCATTAGGAACAGGAAACGGCTAATTAGTAATTGAATGTTTCATGGTTTTAAGGAGGCTCAGACTTTCCAAACAGAGATGATTTAATATGTATTTTGGATGTAAACAAGAATAAAGATCGGAAGTGCCAGGACATAACATCTCCGGAGCATGGGAAAACTCCGAAGAAGTGAAGAAAATTAGTTTCAGGCCTTTGGCCGATTAAAATCATCGTCTTAAACTTAGTGGGGCAAATATTAAAGCCTGGGGAGGGGGGAAGCAGAAAGGCAAATATTGAACATGGTGGTTTTTGTTGTTTTTTTTTTTCTCTTTCTCCTTCTGATTATTAGGAAGATGCACATGACTTTCCCTAGCAGGCTGTAGGTGAGCCAGCCGATACCTAAAAAAGGCAGCCACTGCCCAACTCTGCAGGTCAGCGTGGCCGCCCTCAGAAAGTCACGTGAACGGTCTGTACAGGCAGGCCAACATTCTGCCCCGGTGTGCTTCTCCTGCGCCAGTAACGCGCTGCCTGGTCCTGGGCTCTGCTCAGCAGCAGCCAAAGCGCGCCGTGCCCCCGGCACCTAACGCCCGCACCCCTACTCTCTTGGCGGGCCAAGGCTCAGGGGCCAGCTGGACACCCGGAGCTTCTTGCCCAACCGCCTGCAGGCGCGGGATTGACAGACGCGCTTGGTGGGCTGGTCCATATAACAACAAGGGAAGCCAGCAGCAGAAATTAGGTACATAGCTCGCTATTTAAATGGCCACTGGGCGTCAGCTGCATCTTCTGATACGTGCTTGATGCTTGATATTTGTAGAGACGAAGGCAGTAAGACAGAGACCATGTACGCGCGCACGTTTACGGTGCTACATTTGGCAACAAGGAATCTGCCTGCAAAGATGAGGGGAGGAATCGGAGTTGATTTATCAAAAATGGGATTGGTAAGGATTTGGTAATACTTGTTTAAATTCTTGATATTTCTATTGTATTTTAAAAATGATTTTTCAAGGTGGCCATTGAGGGTACTGTGGGCTGATGGACTGTTTAAACTTTGAAAGAGGTTTCAATTTTTTCCTTCTTATTCCCTTTATTTCTCAAGGGAAGTTCAAGGGAGATATCTGGAATACCTGTAAGAGAGAAAGTAAATGCCAAAGCTGAAGCACAGTGCAGCCACCCAGGAGGTATTATTGATCAGTAAACAGAAAGTGCATAGTTAAATATTTCCCTTTTTATAAAGCTCTCAATTATTCTCCAGAAATTAAAATACTTTTTTGTTGCCATGCAATAAACTTAACTCCATGGCATTAACGACGTCATACAGCAACCACCTATGAGGAATTAAAGTGGTAGGAGCAGCTGTGCTACCACATATACAGGAAAGAGCGCGATGTTGTCAAATTCATCTTTTTGAAGAATATTCACTATCATCTCCTCAGTGTAGCTGCCTGCAAGCTACATACCATTTTATAGCATCTTACTGTATTATTTAGCAAAGATTTGAATAAATCTGTGTGCAATAAATGTATTCTTTTATTAGGTTTATCCCTTAATCAAATATTCATTTATGTGGGCTTCATTCTATTAAAAAATGAAATTATACAAAGGTGAGCAAAAGCGCAGATTTACAGTAGTTTAAAGCCTAATCTCATTCTCTAGGGGTAATATTGACAATATAAAAACTGTATAAATGATATTCCCTAACACTAAAATATGCTTATGAGCCCCCTGTGCATGTTATACTGCTTTACAACCTACAGTGAAATGCATGACTGGCTTAATAAGCAAGACATTTAAAAAGGATTTTTTTTTTCCCCCTTTACAATGTATAAGACAAGTAAAGATCTCCCAATTTCTCAGTGAGCCAGAGCCCGTGTTAATAATTGTAATTTTCCCTCAGGATGGTGGTGTCTTCCCTGAATTGGTAGTGCAGGGTATACATTCATCTCTTGCACTCTCTTTTAGCAACAATATCATCGTTTGTCTTTTTCTTTCAAGGTTTTAATGTGTGTATAAAGGACAAATCCTAAAGCAATAATTATCATCTGCATATTTAGTGGACTTTTTTTTTTTCTTTTCTTTTTTTCAGCCTATTCAGCTGAATCCTTTGTGAGACTTTGTTTATAATATTTTTGTTTTAAATCAGTAATTCAGCTGTATTTCCATAAAAGTTCTTTAAAACAAAATTGCCAGGTGTACCCTCACAACGTGTATAAAGAAATGCGCCCCGGCGACGCTGGTGTGCAAATCCAGTCCAGGAAGGGGAGCAAGGCGACCCAGCGGCTACCTCTGATTAACCGACACGGCTACAGCCCGAGTTGGGTCAGGCAACTTTAGCTCACTGTAAATTGGAGGAGAAAGTGATTGTAGGAAGGAAACTTGGGATCTGCTACCTAAGGAGCAAACGAGGATAAATTTGTTGTATCAGTAACTGTAAATTATTCATGCAATTTAAAAATTAAACCCCAGCACTACATGTTGCAGAAAATATGGGTAGCAGAGATGAAGTCATAAACTGAAAATCCCACTTTGCCAATTTAGATGAAGGAGGAGTTGGCAGAGCTGCTAAAATAAAGGTTAGGTAGAGCCGAGACGGGGCTGCGTTTCTGCGGACAGAGGAGTGACCTGCACGCTCTCGGGGGCTTTGCACAGCTCCTCCTTGAGGGGTTGAATCAGAGAGTCTTGGGCGATACCCCAGGCGTGCTGGGCAGCAGCTGATCTCTCCACCCGGCCGAGGCTACGTAACAGAGTCAGCGTTAACAGAGCCAAGCCGAGCTTTGGGTGCAGCGACACGTGGAAAATACAATGCCATAACAGTAACTCTGACTTACAAACCTGGGGCTAATTAGTTTGAATTAGTCTCTTATTTTGCAGGGGGGGAAAAAACCGCAACTCGGAGAACAGTTTGCATTAGCTTCTTCTGTGGATGACATCCCTCAAAAACCCATTTCTCTAAACGTCTCGGCACGCAGGAGTGCGGACTGGCCTGGGAGGAGGCTGCACCCAGGCCCCTGCTAGTGGCGTAAGGACCACAGCAACTACAGAAACCACAGCAAAGGAGCCCTTTGCTACTGCAGAAAAAAGACGACCTGGCCTGGAGCCAGTTCCCATGGTTTTGGACTAGTCAATCAGCCGAATGACAACAGTGAGTAAAACTGACTTTGTTTATTAGTTGTCCAGCAAAACTTCTCCTTTCCATTTATCTGTAAATATTTTCTAAACTGAGCAGTGAAAGTGAAAAAATAACACACGGTGAGCAGGGCACAGGTTCCTCTCGACTCACGGAAAAAAAGTGAACAATAAATGCTGTTTCTGAGAGCAGCAGTGCTAATGAAGTTTGGTTTGCTTTCTTTTAATCTCTCGCTCTTTCATACCACCTCCCTTCCACCCCTGCAGATGTGCGGTCTCTGATGTCTAATGCCGACTGAGCCAAGGAGCCTCTCCTCCCCGCGGGTCCGGCTCCCGCAGCAGGCAGGACCTGTGGCACTCCTGGAGGTCCTGCATTCGGGGTTTCTGCCCCTCTTATTTTGTGCTTAGCTGTCAAATATTTCCAGGTCCATGTTACTAGACCTAAAAACTTGTACAGAAAATCGGATTTCTAATGAGTAACAATAGCCAAGGACAGGAGATCTGTTCGCTGAATACCAACTACGTAGATGCTGGATTGCCATTGTCAGTGGGAGTAGACAGGGAGATAACGTAGTGGTTCCTGCTTAGGAAATATTCAAGCCTGCTGACACTGAATTATTGAATAAATGTTTTAGCCCTTTGTAATAGAAAGGTATAGACCTTCACACTCTGTGGTCTCCTGGGGAAACCTTTCCCCACCTTTTGTCTCCAGAAAAAACAAAATCTCAGTTTCTTCCCTCATATGTGTGTGTATGTGCTTACAGAGAGAGAGATTCAGAAAAACACTGTGTACCGAAAGTACGAATAACACCCAGACTAAGACCAGCGATACTGTTTATTTCTAAAGCCCGGCGTTGTATCGCCAGCAGACGAGCCGTGTAGCCAGCTAGCGCAGCAATCTCATGGCGAGTTCCTCAAGGGGGCCCTGCTCCTGGTTAGCAGCTAATGAGACGGCTTTCAGCAGCACGTGGCTGGTGTGGGCACGGATATGAGAGTCTAGTAATTGAGCACAAACTTCAAGAGCTTTTCTAGAAACCTGCAACATGACACAGCGTGAGGTAACTACTAGAGGTTTAGTAATTCAGAGCATCCAGAGGAGGATATGCACTGGGGACAGAGCATGGCCTGGACAGGAGGAGGATGGAAAGGCCTAAGACTCAAACGAAGCAGATATAGCGAAGAACTTGCTCACAAGGAAAATACCAGGAGCCATATATTTTAAACTCCTCTGTTTAGTTTAGTCTCAAGAGTTTCTAATCACAGGGTTCTGGTCTTTTCTTGTAAGTGCTTGAACATTTTTTTTCAGTGAAAGCAAGACCAAGACAATAGCATTATTATTTGCAAGGTGTTGAATTTGTCTCTTACAATTGTAGAGCACTTTGAAATTACGTAGTGTGGTTGGCTTACTGGATTGCAGCATTTGGAGGTTTAATTTGACACAGTAACTAAGTTGTTAAGTCTCTTAAAAACAGCACCCCTCTCTTTTCTGTCTCCCTTGTACCCTTTTAACCATAGGCTGGATTTGAAAACTGACTGGTTATATCAGAATATTGAAAAAATATAGCCCAGTTTTCTAAGTAATAAAATGCAAAATACGTTCCAAACTTCAGCAGTCTTTCAGCTTTGGCAAACAGATAGAAATAAAAAATTATTCGCAGTACTGAGCGGTTTTGTGCTAAATCTCTGCCAGGTTATTTCACAAACAAAAGCAGAGGCAGCCTGGGTCGCCCTCCTGTTGCACGTACAGTGAGCCAGGTTTCCTCTGAACCACATTTTCACCTCAGAAAAGTCTGTCTGCCTACACTGCTGCCTCCTTCTTGAAATTTAGAGTCTTTTGTTTTTTGCAAATTGTTATCATCAAGTATTATGGTAACATCTATTTTTTAAAATTTTAAGATAACATTGCTTTGCTGATTGTTCCAACATCCCCTAACAATGAAATATAGTAATACAAAAGTTAACTAAGGTATAAACATGCAAAAGGAGAAGTCTCCCTGCGATCATAAAATGATGTTATTTTCTGTTCAGCAGTTCATGTTACTGCTGTTCATGCTAATTAATTAAAGGAGCTGTTGCTGTAATGTGCAAACAGGGAATCTGAGAAACTGAGAGGGCTTTTAGGTCTCGGAGTGAAGTTAAGTCAATCTGGGCGCGGGCAATCAAATGTAATGAAATCACTTGTCAGTGCTAAGCTTGCAAAAACTGTGAAGTTTGACTAGGGAGTAAAAGGATTATAATTAGATTTCCAATAGGATAATAACTAAATGGCAGAAAGCAGTAAAGAGAAAATATTACTTTGTTAGCTAATGGTGCTGCTGTTCAGTTTTAGTTTTTATCAGCACACTTGTAGTTGTGCTAATTTAATTTGCTTTTATCAGCAAAAATGCACTACTCGAATGGTACTTGAATGTCATTTGCAAAAATCATTGATCTGAAGGTGCACTTAATGACACCCAGTATGTTTATTTTATGTGAAACGGAGATTGGTTGATAAAATGGTTGATGCACTATCTTGCTGGCCCACAAGTGAGTTATGGAAGCAAGAGCAGGAGGGTGTGTGTGTGCAGGCATCACCCTCTCCTGCAACACTCAACTATGCAGGGGGCTTCATGACTACAGCAACTACTTCTTTTCTACTTTGTCAGCTACAGAGCTTCTCTCAGATCAAGCTATGCTGGGCTGGAAGCATATGGAGGATGGAGGCATTAAGACTGTAAAGTTCAAAAAAAGTTTTAAGTCTTGTCTGCACAAAATTTCCGTTCAATTAATATACAAAGCATAGAGAAAATGAGTCAACTAAACGGAGAAGATTTACAATGCAGATCAGAATCCTGGTATATGAACAGCTTGTGTTAATAAAATCATTTTCAGAAATGAGCATAAAATATGATATGACTTAATCACTGTGAAAGGTGGCTGTGCAGTATTTTTGTAATTTTCCTTTAAACTGTCTTAAGGAGATACTGGCAGTGAAACTAATTGAATTTCAAAGGAAAGGCACTGTGTGAACGATAGATTTCTGTCCAGCAGAGCTATTGACAACAGAAAAAGAAAGGTCTGCATTGATGTTAAGGCTTTTTTCTGTGCAATAGAGGGAGACTGTGGAAGCTTGGAAACAGCTTTGTATTAGGAACGTGTGCTTGACCCTTCCTCCTCCCAGGGCCCAAAAACAAAGGCAGCAAATGAAGGGGGCAATGAGGGAGTGTGCTCAAACTGTTAAAGACGGCAGTGCAATAGTAGCTGTCAAGTACAAAAATTATAATCAAAGGAAAAGAGAATAGAAAGATATTACAGTATCAGCATAAATAAAAATGAAAGAGACGGTGCTACAGGACAGAAACACTTTGAAATCTAAACAAGCTCTAGAGAGAGCTTTTCGGGAACCTCTACATCAGCTGAGAGCGCTTGGTGAAAGAACTGACTAAACTCATCCCATGTTTACATGTGAACAGGTTTACCAAACTACAACTGTCAGAGAAGCCAGCGTACGCTGTCATGCATTACTGTGGTGAAGACAGGAGCTGCTCTGCCACTGAGGAGTGTATGACAGGTTTACAACTCCTATCGCACGAGTCACGTTCCGCTTTCACAGAGGGGCACCACGCTCAGAGATACTGAACGTAGTGGATAGCCAGTTCTCCCTGGGTGCAGGCTTCTAACCTGAACAAAAACTTTATGCTCCAAAGCCTGTTAAAACTAAAGAATGATGTAGTTGGGATCAGATTAAAGAAAAAAAAAAAAGGCAACAAAAAACCAACCTGAATTAAAAATCATAAAATCACGAGGTTTTCTTGTGTATCAACAGACTACAGGAATTAAGAAAGTTCTCTTAATTCCTTCTAGTAAGTAAATGGTTGTTGGAAGTGGCTATGCATCACTTTCCCCACAGTTACTTATAATCAGTTTTGATGGCAAGACACATTTGAGCCAACTGTAACTTTTTTTCTTTAATTGAAAATTGAAATTAACTTCCTTTTTTTTTTTTTAACTACATTCTGTCCAGATGCACCTTTGACTCTCAGAATCTTTTAGGAAGAGCACTGAGCACCCGTCTCAGCAGGTATGATAAACAGATCATAAATGTTAGGAATATTTTGCTTGTCAAATTTAAATACATGTGTCCCCAGTGCGTATCCAGTATTTTACTATTTCTGGCAGTAACAATTTTCAAATTGTAATGTTTAGAGGACAACTCTAATTGTACGTGTAGATATATTTACACACATTTATCTGCACATCACAACAAAGCTGTGATTCTCCTCCTTTGTAGTACCTAGCACATGAACCTAAAATCACAAGAAGAGACAGCAGTAAAAATATTTGAAAGCCTTCCTGTATGGATGACAGATGGACGACAGATGCATACCAGAGGTATGCAAAGTCAGGCCTTTAACAGTTCAGAAAGGCTAGAAGTTATGTTTGTGTCTGTAACTGTACTGCAGTCCTTCTCTCTGCACAGAAGGGGACTGTCTCTAGTTACTTCAGCAGACATTCTTTTTTGCACAGAACCATCACATGATTCACTAGAAAGGGTGGAAGTTCGCTAAGCAACAGCACTTACAGTGAAAGAGGCAGCTGTCTCCAGGCTGCTGGAGTAGCCAGCGCAGAACCGAATGGTGTGTAATGAATACGGCACAGGTCTGAAGGGAGAAGGTGGTTGATTTTATAGAAAATCAACACTACAAAACTGGACTTTCTCCAAAGTCAAAGAATTTCTACATTCAAATTGCTCAGACCAAATTTTATCGCAGGTGACGATGATTTTCTGTGTGCCTCAAATAGGCTTCCAGTGGAAATAACCATTAAGATCTCTGTATCTCAGCTCCCTGAAATGATGGTTACCCAACTCTCTCACTTCACAGGCCCCTAGCCAGAAAGCATTTATTACTCTTTGGGAAGCACTCAGACAATATGGGAATGTTCTGTATTTGCACTCACTGAACAGGGAGGAAAACGGGGAACTACATAATTGCTCCTAACATGAACGTGACTTTCCTTTTCCACCTACAGTTTATGTATTTTTCAGAAACATCTATGATCTTCATAGGAAGGTAAGGATCAGCAATAAAATATTTTAAAAAGATAAATCATTATGTAAAATCACTTTTGAACTAAGCACATATATCTGACAGCTAAATATGAGTTTCCCACACCTCTATTTAAAGAAATTTAATTTCTGGTCTTTTAGAGTACTGATCCTTCAAAGGTTTTCTATATTGAACAGGAAAACAAAATGAAGTTGTGTAATTTACATTTATCTTAAAGCAGGAAAACAGAGACAAAACTATTCTGCATTTCATTTAATTTTTAATATGGCTCACAATAAACATGTATGCGATGGGATGTGGTACATACTGCACCTTGCATTGCTGCACTGTCATGTTGGGTTCCGTTGTGTTCTATTTCCATATCTGGGATTCCAGCATCTGAAAGACGTGACACCGAAGATTAATGCATTCCCCTTTGTCCTTCTCTCATGCATCTTTAGAAAAATATTTATAGCAAACTAGGGTGATCTCCAAGTTACACGGTCTTGCATAAAACATTTGGTCTTCATCGAATTTTCAGTAGTAAATTGTTTCCAAAATGTGCAAACATTACTGGTCTCACAGTGAATTATTTTTAACGTGCTTCACATTTGTCTGACGATCAGATAGTAACCAACCCATGATATTAATATGTCTGTTAAATGCTCTTGGAGAATGAGGGCATCTGACATATGAAAAACAGAAGTCGAAATCAAACTGTGATAACATTAAACTACACTGACTCTCCTCGCCATATACCTGTGAAGTATGGAATTAAAGAATATAGCCAGTGCCAGTCAACATGTTTGTGTGTGTGCGTATCGGTTTGAGTGTGTGTCATAGATAAGGACTGTGCAAACTGATTTAAAAGACTCAGCTGAGGGTGTCGTAAGCCTGTGTTATCAGATACGTAATTTTGTTTGGGGTGATATTATGTGAAACACTTCCAGATTTCTGAGAAGAGCTTTCCAAAATGGACTGTATTCTTTTTTTCCAAGTTGAGAAAGACTCTCCTAATGCTATGCACTTTTGAACTATTTAATTTCATATTGATAATACTTCTGTATGCACAGTCCTTCGGGGCGGGGGCTCCAACACCCCAGGGTGTTACAATAACAGATGCCATTATCCACCTTGTGCCAACAAGGATTAGCATGAAGGGTATGTGATTTGAATCCATGGCACCTCGAATTCTGGAGAAACATCTGCTTCCCTTACAATACAGCACTTAGAAATTACAGCAAGAAAAAACTCACACCTGAAAGGGACCTGCGTGTACAGTTTAGAACTTTTTCTGTGTAGAAGCCTGTTCTGGACTTTCCCAAACAGAGAATAACTGTACTGTTGCATTCTCAGATTGCTTTAGTTGGAGTGCCAGTATCTATCGCAAAGATGACATTTTGCTGGTCACCCTACAGCCGGACCGGACTCTATGTCGAAGCAGGGCAACCCATTAAAGTATAGTCCATACACAGAAGAGTAATATGAGTAATAACTTAGTAGTATATGTGCAAATGAAACATATGTGATGTACGCATATATAGCCCTATAAATATATATGATCAAATAAATAATATTTTCATGTATACAATTTTTTCTTGTAAAATGACAAGTGACTGCTATTACATGGGGTTTCCCTTACTCAGATTCCTGTTTTGAAGGAATGTTCAGGTTACTGATCTATTAATCTAAAAAGGTTCTTTCTTTTCAAACCTTTTAGAGTACATGTTGTATGTATGTAAAATGACAAAGTCATCTGTAACTAATAACAGCATCTGTTAAATGAGACAGACCGTCAGAGTTAAATTAAAAATATTCAGAATAGCCCTTCACATTTTGTTGTCATAAAATTGTACCTGCAATTAAATTGTGGATTAAGATGCTAATGAGCTACCTGATTTGCATGTGCAATCAGATTAGCATGTAAATATCAGCTTCTTGCAGGCACTAACATATATATGACTACCTGAGTGTGCCTGCAAATCAAAACGTTAGCAGCCAGGCCCACAAAAGCAGATGTAAAGATCTGTTAATCATACTGCTGGCGTGTTGTACCCTTTAATTTGTGGCTTCCAGAACTGCTGAGTACTCCTAACTGTCGTGCGAGCGGCAGGTGCTTACCAGCAATGGCAGAATCTGGGTGACTGACCTTACAGAACATCGGGATTTCAGGTTTTTTCTGACATTGATCTCAAGGCACTGGCTGTATCTGCAGGATCTGATCTGGGCAGTTTTCTGATCCAGTGAAGGTGGTGCAAAAGGTTTCTGCTGGCTTTGTCCAGCCACGCTCCCTTGGGTCATTGTCCCTTATCACAGTGCAACTGCGAGCTGTATATCCACACCTGAATCACCACTGTTCACTGTCAGGACATCAGGAAAGCCAGCCAGCTCCTGGTTACAGTGATATGCTGGACTATAAAACCCAGCAGATGAGAATGCCTCTGAAAGATGTTGCTCTCGTACTTAAAGAGTTTATATCTCTTAGGTGCTCTAGATAAATCACAACTCGCAGTCCATTGCAGAACGTTGCAATGGCAGTTCACGTAGACAGGCTTGCCCTAACTTTAAAAAACAGTTTGGGTAGCCCTCACAACTGAGAACTCAAGACAAACTAAAGTCATGATTTTTACTCAGCATTTCAGGCAGATTTTGCAGTCTGTGTATGTTGTTATGGCTCCGTTGCTAGCAGTGCCCAAAGCAGGCAGCACAAAGTTAACGTCAAGACTACGTGACATACAAACATAGCAGAGACTGAGTGTGAATCTGATTCATGAATCTCTGCAGAGACTTTGGGGTAAGGACACACAGACTAAACCTTAGCTACAGAACCTGAAATTAAAACTCAGCTAGGTTCAGTCTTGAAGATTCAACCAAAGTACTAAACTTTGGCTAGAACCATACTAAGCAGGAGAGGCAAATCGTCCCACTACCCAAAAAATAATCACCCTGCTTAGAAGATTAACTGATTTGCTTTTGTTTCACAAGAATATTTGGGAAGTATTCAAAACCTAGTCAGCTCTGAAAGCTGATACATATTTAACAAACGTAATAGGTCCTGAGACCGAGCAAACTTCAGCCAAATGGCTTTTAAAATGAAGCTCAGAAGTTCTAAAAATGAATCTGCTGGGAGAGAAGAGTTCAGAGAACCTTATAGGAACCAAATTTCACATTGTCTTAGCTGGCACTGTAACAGATTTCTCTGGTAATATATTCAGCATTTCTTGTCATGTCTGTGTAAACTGCTCTGTCTGTTTCTCTAGTTGCAGGCTTATTTATTTTTTTAATTCATGACCCAGAGCACATGGCCTGAAATAGATTTTTAATTATTTCAGGAAAGGACTGTGTTTTTTTTATTCTGGAATTTGCTTTGTGCATCATCTTACTTTTTTTTTTTTTCTACTCAAATATCATTTTAAGCTAACTGTGAAGGGCCAACTAAGACATTACCATTTAACATCCTGAGACCGTCACCTGATGTGGCCTGTTTAAGCGCCTGTTCCACTTGTTCTCTTCTCTTTGATTCAAATTCCAAAGCTTCCTGCAATTTTCTCTTTGCCTTTTTTTCCTTCTTCAAGCGCTTCTGAATTGTTGCTGAAACGTAAACACATTGTAAGAATGGCTCTTAAAGCACAATTAATATATAATGGAGACAGTAAATGAGTTTATGTTCAAGGGCCCAGTTCTAGCTCAAAAAAAAAAAAAAAAAAAATCTGGCATGAATCTGACATAAACCCCCAATCCTGTAGTGAAACAATGAACAATCCGAAAGGGCTTTAGATCTTGTTAAAGATCTTAAATCTTTCTCATTCTGGAGCAGCCCCACAGATTTAAATCTCCTGACGAGAACCCAAGAGTCTCGGAGCCAGCCTGGTGGTTCATGTTACACAGACTTCACCAATTTGGACTAAATTCCAGCTACAGTTCTGCAGAGTTTGGCTTAAACTAATTTCTAGCAACAGCAGCAATGTACATCCTTAACATTAAATAAATCTCTCGCCCTTCACTCTAACGTTTCCCTTTAATGCTGAGAATTAATATTCCGCCCTCCTTCTCTAGTAGTTTTATCTAGAAAGATAATCCAAACACACTGGTTACGTCTTCCCAGACCACTCCTCATGGATGGAAGAAGTCTTCTCAATGTGTCAAAGATTCAGTTTTAGTTATGTTTTCTAACATTAAAAAAGAAATGAAATTTATTTTTGCAGGAGAACCGTCTGCATGCAGTGTTGTAGAATCTGAAATGTTGGTACCAATGATGTACAGAGTACCCATGGAATTAGGTGGTAATTTTTTTCTAAAATTGGAGCAGGAGTCGGGTTAATTTTGAAGCATAACAACTTCTGTTGGTTTTGCGTGGCAAGGTTTTGGT